CTGAAACACAAGACATAATTTTTACAAATAACAGGGCAGAGGCTTGACTCGGGCAGCATGTTTCATCTTGTCTCATCTTATCGTGATTTATTGCAGGGATGAACATAAACAGTGACAGTGAGGATAACAGAGGGATACACATTATTACCAAAAGAAATGTGGATACAGACATTTTGCTCAGTCGTGTTGCTAAGTCACAAACAGTTTAGCAACAAATAAGACACACACACGGTTAGGACACTAACAATTGTAATCAATATGTTTATATTAAAAGTGGATCCAATCTGCAAGGGGCTGCTTGTACCAACAAGTTACACCAAACTTGATTTTAAGGCACAGTTGCTCTCTTTTTAAGTCCGCTCACCGCAACCCCATTTCTAACAGTGTCAGGCAGCTGTTTTTAGGATAAAAAATAGCGAGAAACCCTGTGTACGCAACAAACCCACCACCTAACAGCGGACACATAAAGTCAGCAAGTAGCTGGTGAAGATATTTTTGTCAGAAGTTGGTGGCCAAACAAAGTTGAAAGGAAAAACAGTATATAGTATATACTGGGGATAAATGCAACAATATATAACATTAGAGGTTTACGTGCATTCAGTAATGAAACAGTAGAGTCAAGAGGCGACTTCCTGTTTCCTGCCAATAAACTAGATCCCAGACTCTTCCTCCACGCAGACACAAACTCCAGCTGAGCCCTCCTGCTCCTCCATACTGCCAAATTACTATCATATGGCCCTATAAGGAGTATATGAGTGTGTATGTGAGCGGATGGAGAGCTGGGAGATCAATGAGTGAGTGTGCATGTTTATGTTAAGCACATATGGATGTTCAAAGAAAAGCTGTGGTTGTAAATGTGTGTGTGTGTGTGTGTGTGTGTGTGTGTGTTCTGCAATTTTGAATTGGCAACGTATGACAGCAAAGAAGGCAGAGAGAGAATAAAACAAGTAAAGAGGCTGAGACTGAGACTAATAGAAAGACCGAAATAGATAAATAGAGAGAGATGGGTCAGGGAGAGAGACGGAACTATAGAAAGAGAAAACTGAAGTACGGTCTCCTGACAGCTGTAGGTTTTAAATGCTAACAAAATCATTTTATCTACAGATAAGACAGCAGTTACAGAGAGTAACTTAGCTGAGAATATGGATAGAAAAAAAATCCAGGTTACTGCTGCAAAAGCCAGTGGAAGCTTTTGTAACTCTGAAGTTAGGATAGCAGAGGGGAAAAGAACCAAGAGCTTCTAAAAGAGGAAGCCATGACCAGGAAGAGTGCAAGTGTGTTATGAGTCCAGATAGTCTAAGTGAAGGAGTTGTGGACTGACCTCTCAATCAGGAAAAGTGATTGTTTAGATCTCATTCAAGTACAGCAACTGCACAGCAAAATAATGCAAGAGGTTCTTTTATTAGGGCTGGGTATGTCGCGAAAACATCTAGTTCCAATAGCTTGGACCACGTTAGAAGAAGAACGTTATTATACTGTAGCGTTTCCGAACGGCCACAATTGAAGATGGGGGGGAAGCCATTCATAGAAAATGAAGTTGTGTAAAGAATAAAAAAAAGAGCTTGAGAGAGAAGTTCGAACCCTGCTTAAAACTTTCCCACCTCCACACATCGCTGCGTGTGGGTGATTGCCAGTCATGGAGGAGCTTGTTGCCAAAAAGAATAAAAAAAATCACCTGTTTGGGATTATTTTGGTTTTAAATTGGATCCAACCGGCAAGCATAGTGCCGGCAAAGGATTCTAACAAGACAAATTTGCACAAGCATTTGCGAATACACCATCCTGCTGAGCACACTGCGCTTATACCAAGAGTAGCGGCCCCTCAGCTGCAACTGGTAGTGCCCCACGTACCAGCACAAAATCATTGGGGCTTTAGTCAAAACTAGTAAATATGAGAAGGACAATCCAAGATGGGAGTTGGCTGTGTCTAAATATCTCGCAAGGGACATGATGTCTTTTCACACTGTGGAAAGGGAGTCTTTGAAGGATTTGCTCAAACCCTTTGATGAGCAATACACGCTTCCTGGACAGAAATACCGCCATAGCAGACCTATACATTAAAGTCAGGGCTGATGTAAGTAAAGAGCTGGAGGCAGCGGATTTTATCATACTGACTATGGACATGTGGTCTACTACCAACATGGTCCCCTATATATGAGTGTCACAGCACACTATGCCACAGAAAGTTGGGAGCTACAAGTGAAATGTCTAGAAATGACATATGTTCCAGATGACCACACAGGCATGGTGCCAGCTGAAGAACTGAGAGAGTGCTCAGCAATGGGGGATCACAGAGGAAAAGGTGTCTTGTGTCACCATGGATAATGGAGCCAGCATAACCTTAATGTGGCAGGGACTAAGGCCATGAAGAAAGTGAAAGCCAACACCGATTGAGCCTTTGGTGTTTGCAGCTCTATTAATGGAGCATTTGCACATAGTTGGCAGAGGCTTCGGGAAGTCCGCAAGGCCCAAGAGGATTATGACCTACCACTACATTCACTGATGACGGTAATATAAATAAAATAAGCATTGGTCTTATTTAAACAATACATTTCTGATAGTTGAATGTTTTAATTGCAGAACCGCAATGGCCAATATGTGACATGAAGTTTCATCATTCCATGCAAATATGCATGTGTAAACCATATTTTCCATGTTAGACATGAACATGAAGGAAGGGATGGCGATATGGACGGACTTATACACATCTTTCAGTGTGTATAAGTAATGAGTTGAGGCATCTAATTGCTGCATCATTATGAAGTTCATGGACTCTTAGTTGGATTCCTCAGATAAAGTAACATAAAAATAGCAGCATTAGATTAATCCACCTCTGCATTGTTACAGTGCCAGTATGAACGATTAGAGTATTAGCCTTATGTAAACAATTGTGCAACTCGCTGGGGAACGAAACAGAAAATGGTGCAGTGCATCCTCGCACAAGCCCCAGCCTTTGAAAGGGTTTTGCTGGCGTTCTTTCCCCAACTTGGCCTGGCAAGATGTCAGTGTCCATAAAATGACAAAAATCGGCCAAACTATCGGCCAAAAAAAACAACCAGTGATGGCTGATATACTTGTCCAATTTTCTAACCCTGAATCATATATATTAGAGGATGGGAGTACAACCTGAGCTAATCTTACTTTAGTGGCAGACTCACTGTTGTGTAAAGGTTTTTACAACACCATGTACACCACAGTAAAGCTTTATAGCTGTTTAATGTCCTCATAGGTGCTGTTGTATGTTGGGTTCAAAGCAAACACCTATGAACTATAAACTATAAAAGACACTGGTATTTATGTACGATCAACTCAGTTTTGTATTTATGTATAAAACATAGTGTTGTTTTTTTGGAGTTGTGAGAAGATTTTCAAGTTTTGTATAGCTGTGGATATACCGCACATGATATATAACACACAGTCATGACAAGAAAGTAACTGGAGAGAGAGGGAGGTAGGGATAGAAACTAATTGGGTCCAAGCCAGAGCACTTGAATCCGAAACTAACAAGCCAGAAACTGGATCTCTGCCAACTGGATTTCTCTTACAACGGTAAATCAGTAATCATGTGTCTCTAACCAAGTGTGTGTGTGTGTGTGTGTGTGTGTGTGTGGCAGCATCATGCGTGTTTGAGGCTGAAAATATGCCATGGTGCTAATGGGACAAGATTGACCCTGTGTGTGTGCGTGTGTGTCAGCAAATGCAAGATACAGAGACAGAAAAAGGAACAAGGGCTGTGTGAGTTTGCATTTGTGATATAGAGAAAGAACTGGTTAATTTGTTTACTTAAACAGTATATGTGTGTAGGTGTGTGTGTGTGTGTGTGTGTGTGTGTGTGTGTGTGTGTGTGCAGTCCAGCAGGCTGACTGTTTATCTGTTGGTCTTGATGGATTCGTCAGCCTGGCCTATCTGACCCATTCCATCCCTGTTACAGCACTGCAGATAAAAATAGCTTCTCAACTGGGACACAATGTGCAGAGCCTGGCTTTGATTAGGACACTCTGTGTGTGTGTGTGTGCGTGTGTGTGTGTGTACCGTTTTGAAAAACAACTACCTCTGCCTGGACACATGACAGGGGGAGTGGAGGGCAAGATGGGAGGTAAGGAGGAGGAAGAGCGATGAAAGACGAGAGTAGTTTGCTGTAAAATAACTCTGTTGAACCTCTCTGCCTTTGTTTACTTTCTTTTTTCTCTCACCCTTTACTCCCACATTTCACTGACTACCCCTCTCTTTCTTTCTCCTGCAAACTATACCAAAATATCAAGGCCAGCTGTCTTAAGTAGATAGCAGCAATGCAACCCTTTTCCTTATCTTATTTCAGCAAACTGAAAATGAATCAAACCAATGTAATTTTAAAAATAACAGGTTGCATTGGAACATGGATAATAAACATGAATATTTAATGTGAAAAAGTGTATTAGCTTCTGGAAATGTACTTTTATATTTCACCAAATGTCGTAAATGAATCTTCTGTTCAGTAACAATTTTCTACTTGACTTTTTCATAAATACGTGAAACTACAATTTTTTGGATTCGGCATGTTAAAAAAAAACAAAACATATATTGAGCAAAAAGCCAGTGTGCAGAATAATTTTGTATGTTGTCTTGGAATTTCTTTTTCTTTTTAATGTTAACACCTGTCTTCAAACTAAATCTTTGTTAGGGCAGTGGAGTTTTGAGATGAAGCGACCTGAATTGAATTTCCTGCTCCTTTGGCACTAACAGCCTCTGACCTTTTCTCACTCCGTCTCCTCTGTATTTTAGAGGCTCCTGCCCTTTCCAAACTCTCCTTTGTCACTCTTTCCTCCACAATTTAATCTTCCATCCTCCGATCTGTACTGAAGCACATTATCCCAACAATTTATCTGTACTTCTGTCAGGCGTTTTATTCCTCTTCCGCTACATTTGTCTTTGTCCTGTCTCTGTCTGAGTCTATTCATTCATTCTGAGTAGCTATCCATCTCTGAATCAGCAAACACAGCACTTCTCCATTTTCTCTGTCCC